TTAATAGTAATAATGTACGTTTATAAATATTGTAAAGAAAATAAAACAAACTTATCATGGCAACATATAATACAATAGAAATAATATTAATAAAAATTTGTAAATATGATAAAAAAATTAAACGATTTAATCCTAACAACCTATTAAAAATTGTTTCTATATCTTAGAACATATATATAATTTAGTTTCTTTAGTTTACTTGTGTCAGACACAGTGAGTTGGTTTACAAATTTATCCTCATTGTCCTGAATTAATTCGGGGAATGTAATTTTTAATATATTTTTCTGAGAGAAGAAAGAATGGACAGGTCAACAATAGATGTGCTTGGTGATCAAGTTATTTTAAACGGCAAAATTTACAAGGGTGTTAAAAATTAAATAAGTGTATCTCCTGTTTAAATATATTTTAAATATCGTTTATTTGCAAGTTTCAATTCAGCAAGTACTAGCAATTTATTGATATGAGCATTAGCGTTTATATATGGCTCATTCTATGTTAGAGTGCTAATTTTTCTATAGGTCGTATTTGAAGCGGCTATTTAAGACAAATTCAATATCTTTATTCTTCTTTTCTATCTTCTTTTCTTACTAAATTGTTTTATGACATTCTAGGTAATTTTTACAATTTTCTTTAATTTTTGAATAATGCAATTTTTATACTGAGCACCAAGCAAGGCGTGTTCTAATTTGAAGGGCATTGTACATAATAAAAATTGTATGTATTATTTATAAATGAATTATTAAAACTATTTTATTAAAGCTTATGAGCCTGCGGGGGGGTTATATTTTTTATAAAAATTTCCTTTTTCATTTGTACGTTGCCGATTTTATTGTAAATCTAAGTAACGATCTAAAGGTAATTTTTTAAAGTTAAAATTGGAGCTTTTTAAATTTTAATAAATTAGCACGATCAACAAAACTTTTAGCTTTCATTTTTCAATGATTTCATCAATATTTGTTGTCGATTCGTTCTTAATTTAATTTTTTATTTATCGTGATACATTGATTTTGATGTTTCTCTGCTATCGTATTTAAAATATCACTTAATAAAGTGAACACTCATCCTTCTTGTTTTTAAAATGTACACTTTTTTTAAAAAATTTCTGTCTACTATTAATTGTCCAGTTGGTAATGTTTAGCAACATTATTTCAATGCATCAACATACCTCAAGGTCTAATTTCACCACACGTCGATAGGTAGAGAGGACTGAGAAGTGTTTAATGGAGAGCTATTTGGTATTCCCTCATGACAACCACCAAACTGTATTATTATACAGGATCCTCTTTTCATCCTTGCGTCCATCTCTGATGGTTGTCTCTCCTCCTCTTTTAAAGCAAATCATCAACAGAAATGGCGTTTTTGAAATTGCCTCCTGTCGATGATTTAAGTAGCCAACGACTGTTACCAAACTGTCATCATCGGATTTTTCTATGCAAAAACCATCTCCGTTTAATCTTACCATAAAATTCATTCGATTTTTCATGTAAATATACACAATAACTGAGGTAATATATAAAACAGTACATAGAGATTGGTGAGTATTGTTTAATGTCCAAATCAAAAAACTACATCCAACTATTGGGTTGTCCGGAAAATAATGCAGGATTTTAAGTTTTCATTAAAAAAAATCTATATAAAATATTCTGTTTACGTTTACAGGATTACTCATTNTTATAAGTTACCAACACGTTGGGAGAAATGTATTGAGAGTATGGGAAATTATTTTGATTAAAGAACATTGCTTTAAAGTAACTAGTTTCTTTTTTTTTTGTTTAATACCAAAATCCTGCATTATTTTCCGGACAACCCAATATTTGAAAAATTTTCAGCCATCATATTACTAAACTAAACTAAACTGGTTCTCAGCACAGTCCTAATTTTTTAAGCCTTTTTCCACTACTCGTCGAAATTTAGTCTAATATAAACTTCAAATATACAATGCATAAATAATAAAAAATAAAACAAATATAGATATATTTTCTAATGAAGTTTATGCTATTGATTTTTCATAATTTTTACGGATTCGCTGTTACTGTTAAAACAAACCTCAGTATTTTTTTAAACTACGTATCAACGCTATCCATCATTGTCGACTGGTCGGAAAGATTTTGTTTGTTTTTTAAATTTCAGAAATGAATAAGTTGAATAGCAAAGCAAGTAAGTCCATAGTTTCTACATAATGAGTCTTGACCAAGGGTTGACGCTGACAGATGCTTAAGATTAAGTATGCCAACACCTGATGGATGTGCAGCACTGTTCAACCTTAATTAGGCATCGTCGAGGAATCCGTCAGATTATTAATGGTATAAACTTGCCTGAGCCATGGCCCACTCTTTTCCTAATTACTCTTTTCTTGTTCTTCCTGTCTCTTTCTCGAACCAATTCTTGACTAATTGATTCCATTTGTTTAATTTTGCCTTTACATATTGAATAAATTTAAGCCTTGAGGATTAAACGTTTAAATTATATTTTTTAAAGTGAAATTTTGTTATTTACATCGCTATTTTAATTAATAATAACTTAATGGACATAGGGTTGTAAATCGTTTTCAACATGTGTTTATTTTCTTTAGGAAAAGTCTTTTGATTAAAAAAAAGACCTGGTCGATGGAAGACGAAATCGATAACGCTAGAAATCGTTGTTCAACGGACAGGGGTTATATAACAATCCGTCCACCTTTATTTCAGAAACTTCAAAAATAGTTGTCTTTAATGTTTTTCTGACCTTGAAATCAAATCTAGTAAATAATAATTATAAAAGTTAATAAATCTACGTTTTTTGAAATGTATACTGAATCGATTAACATTACTCTTAGTAGAACAGTTAATTATATTACTGTCATATTATTTAAACTAAAATCAAAGTCATTTTTTATGCATACAAATTTAAAACAGTTAAATATGCGCAGAATCGTAAGAATGTAGAAGTTGTCACAAATTGTTACGCCCTGTTTGTGTATGCAGAATATTTACACTTAGGAATATCAATGTAAATATATAGCCAAAAATAGGTTATTTTATGTCTGTTTTATTTTATTACACTGGTATCTGGTGCGGAGCTTTACTGCTGTACATTTCTGCACGGCACCATTTAATTCGGCTCTGTACAAAAAAAAAAAAAAAAATCCATAAGGGTCGCGGCGTGAGTAATCTCTCGCGTGCTTAGCCCGGCTTTAACTTCATCCTGCCACAATATTGCTGAGATACCGTTTCATTTCCCAGAACCTAAACGATAATCTGTGCCAATTTGGAAGATATAAGTGAGATTCGTTCTACACTTTCAAGGTGTTTGTTGTTATTATTTGTTAAGCATTATGTTATCCCTTTCGGTGTATTGCTGCTATCGTCGAGACGAGTTTCCCAAGCCAGAGAGGAAAATGTGTCCTCAAATTTTAACTATCGTCCAATTCACTTGAAAGATTCAATTACTGACCTAAATCCTCCCGGACTTCAAGTGGCCACAAGTCTCTTTCTTAAGGGCCGAAAGGAATTGGCTTCTCGATTTATACTCGCCCACTTGTGAAAAAATTTCAAAAATATGCCCAGTGGAAAAATTCTTTTTGAATTAAACAATATCAAATTGAATACCTCTTAGAAAATCGCTCTTCCGAAGCATTCCATCCCGAAGAAAAAATACTGGTCCAACTATTTTTGCCTTATTGTTTTAGAGAGAGCAAATTTTGCTATATTATTGCAGGTTTTTATTCCATTTCATTGAAAAACCCCATTGGCCCTTACAAAGAATAATCAATATGAAGCTACTGCAATCTAACAATTACCTCCTTTATTCCGGAATAACCCCTTTTATTCAAATGGACCGCAATATCAGATTGCGATAATCTGAAAGACAACCGACTAATATATTTTCATTCTCTTTGACCCATTGTGACCCTTATGAAATATACATCGTTTTCAAAATCCGCAGTAAAAGCGAAAATTTACTTTGGAAATCGTTATGTTTGAACAAAAAAATCAGGGATAATATTTATTTAGAGGCGAGGATTTATCACTTATTCGGATTTCCAATCCATAAACCGGTAGCGTGACTCTCCGGGTCTTAGGGGCCTAAAAGTCCCGACCGCAATGAGTTTGACCTTTTTGTAAACACTATTTTGCGCCTCCGTTCTCTCAATCAATAATCAATAATCATTTCACAGTGTTTTCCTTTATTTATCATTCTAGTTTATGGGATCGATTATTATCGATTGCCTCAGGTGGCTTAGTTCGGTTGATTATAAATTAAAAAGGAAATACACCATGGCATTTCTCATTTCACAACACTTCTATTTTTTGGTCGTTTTTTTATTTTAAGTTGCAATAAATATCTTTACATACATATTTCTATTATCTATCTTATTCTAGTAAGCCCTTCCTTTCATTCATGTATGTTCTAATTTTTAAAGAAATTTATTTATGTTACGGCGGGCGTGGCCGAAGAATACGTAGTGAAGTTAAAACCAGATTTAAAGATTAGGTATTTGATAGCTTTTCTTTTAATCATTTCTAAATGATTTGAATGGGTTTGTAATAAAGTGAGCGAATAGACGACTAAGTCTAATAAAATATTTTTATTGCATAAACACTTGTAGAGTGAGACGTCATAAATTTAATGCAAGTTATTGATCATGTAAGAATAATGATCCTCAATTGTACACTTATTAACAAAGGATACCAACAAATCAGTAACCAAGTAGGTCTTAAGAGGGACATCACCCGTTGAGTATGATAGGGAGTATTGTTTCGAGAAGGAAACATTTTTTTGCAAAAAAAGAAATGTAATGACATTTATGAAGGTTAATAGAAAGCCTGTTGAGTGAGCACTAGTCTTAAAAAGCAGAAATATCTTTTTGCCACGGCAAACAATCATTAAAGAAAAAGATAAATTTGTAGATTTAAAGACACTTTAGAAAATGTTATTGAATTAACATCATTTTATAAAATTCTATAAGCAAGAAGCTGACGAAACAATATATTATTTATTTCTGTTGTTTTATGTTGCAGGAACCAAGTTTTTATGCAGTGAAGTCATAGCTCCCGTCAAAAGCGAAGTGGACGACATATGCCTTTACATTATCAACTTCGAGGACCTGACCTCACCCTCGAGCCCTCTAGATGATACTACGCATAACCACAGACTCAGTAAATGTTAGAAACTTCTGCACACTCTTTTTCCTATTTCAACGTTCACGATCATGAATTTTTAAATCTGAATTGATATGAAATAAGGCTTCAGACATAAAGATGGTCATGTGATTCCAATAGATACACTAACAATCTAAAAAACTTAATAGTAAATTATTATTTACTAAACTTTATAGTTAATTGGCTAATATTAAAAACAATTCAATTTAAACTGAAATCATGAACTGAAAACAATATTGGAAAGAATATAGGAGGCTTTTTGTACAGTACAACGATTGACTGTTGGAGACAAGACAGTCTCCTTGTCCTTATTGAGAGTGTCTTCTAAGTAGAGATTTTAAATGCCAACTGAAAAAAAATTAAGATTAAAATTAAAAATTCATCTTCCATGCCAGTACATTTTACACTGTTCTGTAAACAGAGGTTTCCGTAATCGGAGTTTTAACGTTAAATATAGAGGCAATATCCGCCCTCAATATCTATTGTACAGAGAATTTCTTTCACCTTTTGTCCAATTTTTGTTAATGTGCAAATGTATTTGTTTTTTCTGTAATAATGACATACACGACATATAATTATTATTATAGAGAAAATACCGTAATTTTATTTGGCCTCCTTTAAATACCGAAATTGTCAAAACAGTTGTTCACCTACAGAAACCTTTGTCGATTTTTAGTGAAATATTATTTTCCA